TTATTATTTTTTTTTCTTCTTCAGAAATTTTTTTTTTCTTCTTATACCATATAAAATATACATTTATTATCGTGATAGAAAGAAAAAAAAATATATAAAATTAATACGTATCAGATTGATAAAAAATACATTAATATAACTTTGATACATTAATATAATATTGATGCAAACTTAATATAAATTCTGGTATAATAACTATTATATATATGTTTATTTTTTTCTATACTTTAATACCTAAAAAAAGGATATCAAAGTAGATTCAGCATTTTTGGGTATAAAACTCCAAAAAAAATCTTTTCGCAGATTCCCTTATTAGCGCCGTTTGGCGTATATCTATGTCATATACATATATAAAAAGTTAATTAAGTAAAATTAAAAATAATTTTTTGTAATTAGCTTCGTAATTACTATTTCTACTGTTATATATATATATATATATATATATATATATATATATATATATATATATATATATATATATATATATATATATATATATATACATACATATATATACATACACACACACATACACACATACATACATATATATATATACATATATATATATATATATATATATATATATATATATATATATATATATATATATATATATATATATACATACACATACACACATACATGTATATATATATACACACATACACATACACACATACACACACACACTTATATATATATATGTATATATACATTTTATTTATTTATTTTTATTATTATTATTATTTTTTTTTTTTTTTTGACAAGAATTTTTTTTTTCATGACAAGAATAAATGGTAGTATCATCAGCAAACAATGCCACCTTAGATGGGTGAATATCTGGAAGATCGTTAATGTAAATTAAAAAGAGTATAGGCCAAGGATTGAATCTTGAGGAACCCCTGAGGTTACAGAATAAGAAGAAGAGTGCTGTCCATCAAGGACATCACTCTTCTTCTTATTCTGTAACCTCAGGGGTTCCTCAAGAACAACTTTTACTACGATTACTTTTTACGATTTTAGAACATACTACGATTGGAAAGGACGGATTCAATAATCTTAAAGATGTTTCCAAATTCACCGTAAGAAGAAAGTTTATGGAAAAGACCAGCATGCCAAACTTTATCAAACGCTTTAGAAATGTCAAGAGCGATGACCTTAACCTCTCCACCTTTATCTAATGCACGGTAAAACTTATCGATTATTACTGTTAGCGAAATACATTTGATTATCAGGAAGTAAGTTATTAGATTCAAGATAAGAGATAAAGTGTTTGTTAATTAAAGATTCAAAAACCTTGCTTATGATAGGAAGAAGACTAATGGGACGGTAGTTAGACAAATCAGATTGCTCTCCAGAATTTTTAAAAATAGGGATAACAGATGCTGCTTTCCAGCAGGCTGGAAAACAAGACTCTGATAAGCACTTGTTGAATAGTTTTGAAAGGATAGACGACTGCTCCGGAGAACACTTCTGCAAGACTATAAAAGGTATGTTGTCCGGGCCACAAGCTGTAGAAGAGTCTAAGCAGAAAATCACTTTAGATACAGAAGCTGGAGTGATACGAATGTCATGCAATGGATCAACCTGTTTGACGGCTATATCAGGTAGAACGCAACTAGTGGAATCAAGAGATGATATTGATGAAAAGCTCTTAGCAACCAATTCAGCTTTGTCTTTAGGTGAGATGAACAAAGTCTGAACCATACAAAAGAGGTGGAATTACAGACTTGCCCTTATTATTGATACTATTAAAGATTCTCCAGAAGTCACGAGAGTCTAATTTTTGTGATGAAATACGAGATTTCATGACCTGATAAGAGTGGGCTTTGGCATTAGACAAACCATTTTACAATGGTTTCTAGCAGCAATAAACAGACGTCTGTTTTCTGGAGAATTGTTTTTCTGATAGGTATGGAAGTAACGGTTTCGATTGACAATTGCAGCAGCATAATGTGAGGAAAACCATGGAGAAGAGTGAGGCTTGACCTGGAATTGTCGAGAGGAAATAAAGGATTCCATACCAACCTGAATCTACAAAGTTGTGTAAGAAGCACATTTGTCAACAAGAAGACAAAAAATTTCTACCCAAGGGCCATCACGAAATAATTTCAGTCAGCTTTAAGGTAGTTGTAAAATGTACGATGATAGCGAGATTTTAATAATCAAGAAGAATGAGATAATAGTTTTAGAGAGATCAAACTGTGATTAGAGGCACCTAAGGGTGAATGTGGAGAAACTGAGCACTGACTACGATCAGAAACAAGACATAAGTCGAGTAGAGAAGGTAAATGATTTGTCTGGAAAGCGAGTTGGAAAGTTGACTATTTGCATTAGGGATTGAGAAAAGCAAAAGTTGTGAGCGTTAATGCCTGCAGAGTTACTAACACTACAGCCAAGCCATTCAGTGTAATGAACAAAAAAGTCACTGACTACGACAATATTGGCTGATGGATAAAGAGAGAGAGCATGGTCAATACGATTAGAAATAACATCAAGAAGGGTGCAGTCTTGAAATGAAGGAGAGCGATATAGAACAAAGAGAAAGGTGATAGGGTGAAGGAATGCCAAACGAAAGCACATAAAAGAATAGTCAGTGGATTCAAACCTAATTTCCCAACAAATGGGTGAATTCTTGCAAATTTAAATGCCCAGGCCAAGCATATGACTATTGGAGTCTTGAGATAAGACTCAACAGAAAAAAAGTTACTTCAAAGACCACAAATATTTGTGAATGATAGGTTTAGCGAACTTGGTGGTGACAGTGGTTTTTTGTGTTTTATAGTTTTTGTTACTTTATTCATTTTAAAATTTGTTAAAGAACTTGACTCGAGACATAGATAGTACTCAGTACACTGTTTAATAGATCAAGCAAAAGTCCCGGCGATCTATTATTTTTCATTTGCGATAGAGTTTTTTTTATTTTGTATTGCGAGATTTTCATTTCTAAAAAGGTTTTATCTTTTGCATTAATTCTTTTAACTTTAGAGTTAAGCAAAAGGAAATCCTAAAAATCGCTGTCATTTTGTTTATATTTGTAAAGACTTTTATAAAATTTTCTAAATCCAAATCAAATGTCCTCCGATTTAGTTTTTATATCTCCGTTTGTTGCGTTCTCTCCTCCTAATCACCACTGTATTCGCGCCCTTATTTCCGCACCTTCGGCTCTTGCTTTTTCAATTGTTTTAAATTTATTCTAACTTTATTTTTATATCTTTATATAAAATTTTCATATTTTTATTAAGATGCTCAGTTTGCTTCTACTAAAGTTTTTTTTACTCGTGGTTCTGAAGAAGTGTGTTATTTAAAATCTACGTTTCTTTCCCAAATGTAATTTTAACATTAATATAGTCGGTTCATGATGACGATCTAGTCTAGAGTGGGAAAACTCCATTTCCAGATACAAATGTAAATTCGTTCTTATTCGGGTTAAAACTCTCCATGTATCCTCTATTTCTAAAAGATTTAATAAAGTTTTTAGGATTTTGTTTACGAGCATTCTTTTCTGTTTGGTAGAGGGTATCTACCTTTGTTGAGAGGGTTTTGTTCATATCTCCTCCCTTATAACGATGAAATCGTTAAGTTTTTTATTGCGAATAATATTAGTTAAGTAATATTAGGACTTTTAAATTTGATTTTCGAAATAATAGTGTTTCCTTAGCGATTGCTTGTGTCCGTCTGAGGAAACGTATATATTTACTATGTGATGATTTATGTTATTTATTTTTATTGCAACGCATTTCTAATTTCCTTGAGAGCACAGATAATGCATTTTATCAAGTACTGCGGTTCCACGCGTATTAGTATTCCCAGGAGAGAAAAAAATCTCCATTTCAATCATTTGTTTAATAATAACGTATAATATACTTATGCAATCATTATCTAAACTAGTTTTTTGTATTAAAAAGAAATAGTGATTTTTATTTTCAAACGAAATTAGTATTGTATCTCTCCAGTTCAATTTGTTTAAACCATTAACGTTTGACGTAAAAAAACTAATTTGTTCCGCCATTCTTATTCTCGGTGTAGTTAAGGCAATTTTGAAATATTACGGCGTCTGTATGATATTTTGTTGACTATGACATATATCCGTTAAATGATCAGGTCTGTAAATTATGAAAAGACGAAAAAAAAAAATAATGATAAATTTTGCGGTATCATAAAATATAATTGTTTGAAAAACCCAGACCAAAAATTCTTTTTTTTTTTAAAAAAAAATTTTTATAATTTTATAATTATTTGTTTTATAAAAATTAAAAAAAAAAAAAATTTTTTAGAAAACAAATCTGCATTGAATATATCATGCGAATTATAACAAGACGATATCGTCGGCAAAGTTGTTTCCCTCCAAGAAGCAGTCATTTCATTAGTAACATCTTCATTTTCACCTATGAAATATAAGAAAAGCAACTTTAAAGTCAGTATAAATTTTATTAGCTATGGTTTAGGACTTTATGGAGTTTTTTTGCACTTTATCCACTTATTGTTTTTCATTCAGTGCGTGGTAATAAACTAAAACGTGGCAATGACTTTAAACAAATTAAAACAAAAGAATTGGTTTGATAATTTATTGGTTTATGGGCGATAAAGTAGAACTAAGAGTTTCATGTTCATTATTATTTTTTAGAAAAATGACTGAAAACAATGTAAATATCAATGAAAAATTAAAATGATAAAATACCTGATATTGTTTTAAACGAAATATTGTTTCTTTTTTTCCATCTTTCTAACCATCCATCGGATGCTTGAAAAGTTGTCACAAACAAGTTCTTTTGCAAAATGCAAAGCTTTGACTTGAAAATGGTTCCAGACACACGAATGTTTTGGTGTCGGGTGTTTAAAAACCACTTTTTTTTTTAATTATTTTTTTTTTTGTTTTCTTATTTTTTATTTATTTTATTATTTATTTGTCATTAAAAAAAAAATACAATGTTATATAAATAATAACCGTGTTATATAAATAAAATCTACATGACAGGGGCTAAAACAAGACAACATTTGCCTTATCACTTGAGCACTTTTTATTACAAAGTGATTTCAAATTTACAAGATCTAATGTCAAGCAATTGATCTAATTTGATTACCCAGGTAGAAACAATTTTTTAGACTGTTTTTCCTTTAGAAATATTACTTAACTTATTCCAGGCTAGTTCTATTTTCTGAACCAAAGATATCTTGTTTATTACCACAAGAAACTTGAAAAAAACATTCGATCTTGTCCAATATTGAAGAACCAAGTCTGCTAATTGTACACTAAGTTCTCTTACAGAAATTAGCCTCCTTAAAAATAAAACAAAGTGAATACAAGTAAATATAAACAATATTTCTGTTATCTTTAAATTTAACTTTTCATTACATACTTGTCAATATCTTTTTCAATGAGCAAACATTCTTGTATTAAAAGACCTATTCTCAGGATATCTCTAATTGCAGACACTTCTAAAAGATTAACATCATTACATCCACCCAAATACAGTGAAAACTTTGACTCTTTTTTATCAAAATTGAATCTAGTAATTTTAGGAACACTCATTCTTCCTATTAATATTAAATAAATACTTGCCATTAACAAAACTCTAAATCGATCAACCCGGAAGTAAAGTACTTTTGTACTGCGTATTCATGTATGAGGTACCGTATGGAAGTAATTTATTTCCAGTTTTATTGAATGGTAGTATGAATAAACGAAAGCCAATGTTTAAATACAAAAATATTTCAGAATGTGATGTATTATATTCTTTCCAGAGTAGATACAGAAGAATACATTAGGACAGAAGTGTGCATTATGTACATTGTGCGCAAAGTACACTTTTGTACTAACGTAATAAACGTAGACAATAATGTACACTTCTGTACAATGCAATGTAGAAGTAACTATTTAAAAATAACCTACAAATTTTCCTAACTTTGCATTCCTAAATATACAGGGCCGACGACACGGTTCTCAAAGCTGGGCAAATTGTGGGAGCACAATCATCAACTACTAAAATAAGGTCCTCCATATTTAAAAACTTCGAAACCTTTGTTAAAAAAAAATCCATTACCGAAAAAGTGAGGAATGCGCGTAACCCCCTGATCCTCTGGTGTCATCAGCCCTGATATAATCTCAATTTTTCAAAGTCAATCGTGTTACCATTTATTTATTATTTGTTAGACACAAAGAAAATCAAAATTAAACTTAACTCAATGAGATATGACTTTTTTAAATTTGTGAATTTTTACGATCTGACATCTTCCTAAAAAAGCAAGTTCCTCGGTAGGTAAATAAATAAATTTTTTCACTTTTTGTTTTTTGAATTGTTATTTATCATATATATTGGCACTATAATATTGATGCTAGAGGTTTCTTTGCTCTTTTTTGTTTTAAGTGACATACCCTAGTGTACATTCATCATTTTCAAGTCCCTCATTAGCTGTTTTGTATGATCGAAAATGTTTTTTCTGCAAATAATTCTGGCAGCATATTTTTGCTATTATCAAAATTCAATCCTTTTTTTTTTGACATTAAAGGAAACGGAAGCATTTCGTACCTATCTAAAACATTTGTTAAGAGTTCATACACTTGATTTACAGGTTATATGATCATTGTATATAATGCAAAGTGTTTATAATCATGGTTATATAATCATGGTTATATGATGTAAAGTGTTTGTAACCATGGTTTCAAGATGTAAAGTATTTGTTACCATGGTTATTTGATGTAAAGTGTTTAAAACAATGATTATATGGTTTTAGTCATATAATGTAAAGCGGAGGGTCAAGTTCTATTTTAGTAATAATAGGTAGTGAAGAGTACTTTACTGTTCTAATCCTGTTTTTACAATTGACTCAGATAGCAGCAACTTTTCACCAAACGTGGACAGGTTGCAAATCAATTGAATCAAGTTTATCTGGGAATTACCTAATTGTGACAAAGCAATAGAAACATTCTCTAGATAGATCTATACTAAGTTTGGAAAAAAAAAATTTTTTTTCCAATTTAAGTATAGATCTAGGTTTTCGCAAAAAATTAGTATTTTACATTAGTATCTACAATGTCATACAAAGTTAAAAGTTTTTTTTTTTTTTTTTTTATGTTCTTTATTACAATATTTATGATACAGGTACAAATAATATAAAAAAAGAAAAGTTAACAAGTCAAGATATCGTTTAGAAATAAAGTATAAAAATAAATATAAAGAACGCAGATACTCAAAGAAGACCATCAGGTCTTGTCACAGAGAAGGATTTAAAACGATTTTTTTTTTTTTCTTTTGTTATGGAGTTTACGGTTTGCATCAATCAAATAACTGTGTCTTCTAAACAGTTGACTAATGCAAATAATAATGATCATAATTTTCAAAATAAATCTCTTGCGCACAATGAATCTAATTTGTCGAAAATAATCACTGAATCTTATTAATCGCTATATATTATTCACTACATATCACTGTATAAAATCAATGTAATCACATTTCCAGACTGAATATAGTACATTTTCAGATTTTTCAAAAAGTTGTGCAAAAGGACCTAGATACGACGGTTATCGCTGTGTGTTTCGCTAAAGTACCAAATTTCTGTTTACGCTTCTGACAACAAAAACGCCAAGCCACGCCCAATATATAAATTATCGTTTACGTTTCTAACGACAAAAACGACAAAAAGTTAAACCATTCAAAAATGCAATACATTTAGAAACAATATTATTTCAGTCGGTGGCTTTATAATTTTTATATAAACCTTTAAATATTTTCTAGAAAGATTAAAAAGAAAAAAAGTTCTTTAACTTAAGCTTTTTCAGAAATTTAACACCAGTAATAAAAAAAACCTCTCAAATTTCTCATATTTGCTGGCGTATTATTAAATACCAAATATCATGTTTTTCTTTTGTAAAAATAACAATAGTATAAGTTATTTTTGTATAAGCAAATCAAATAGGTATGCTTTTATTTATTTAATTTAGATATGCTCTTTAGTTCCGCTAACTTTGCTCGTTTTATAGTCAAGTTTTACTTGCTGCGTTTATACAAGTTTTTTTTTAAGTTTTTTTAATAAAGTTATGAAGATGTGGATTTTTTATGTTACTTTTATTGTTTTCATAACTATTGCTTGTGGAAACAATATTGAAAGTTTTCTTAATAAATGTATTTCATCCAAATATCACAAAGCTAAACCTAGTTATGAAGGTAGACCTTTAAATGGTAAACATTGTCAATATTGGAATAACAACTCATGTTGTACGTGGAATACTACTTCAAAAATTGAGCAAGATGGTCATTTATCATTACATGGTATTATATGGGATCAATGTCCCCAAAAAAATATGTCAGAAAAATGCTGGCAACACTTTATGCAAGATACTTGTTTTTATGAATGTTCTCCAAACTTAGGACCTTGGATTCAAGTAGATACAAAATCAAAGAAAACAAGAAAAGAACGTATTCTTAATGTACCTTTATGTGCTTCTGACTGCGATAAGTGGTATGATGATTGTTTCGACGATTATACTTGTAATGATAATTGGGAAACAGATTGGAATTGGTCAATGAAAGGTACCATAAATATGTGCCCAAAAGAATGCAAAAAATTTGGAGACTATTTTAAAAGCTCTAAAGATTTTTGTGAAAAACTTTTTAACTACTCTTTTAAGTATGAGAAGAATAAGGATAAATGTATGCGATTGGCACCTGAAGGTGATTACAACAATCTTGTTGCATTAAAAGAAGCTGAGCGTTTAGCAAAAGAAAATAATGCAATAGTACAAAAAACCAACATTATTTATATTATCATTACCTCTGTATTCGCATGTATGCTCATAAAAACATAATGGTTAAACTAATGTAAAATTGATTAAAGTAAAACATTTGTAATATCTAGAAAATGTTTTTTCTTATGTTTTACATTTTTGTTATTATTATTGCATTGGTATATATATATATATATATATATATATATATATATATATATATATATATATATATATATATATATATATATATATATATATATATATATATATATATATATTGATATATATATATATATATTGATATATATATATATATATATATATATATATATATTATATATATATATATATATATATATATATATATATATATATATATAAACCAATATATATGTATATTACGGTTTGCAATCCCGGATCCAGGGATCCCGAAATCCCGGGATCCCGCCTAATTTTATAACCCTGAATTCTGGGGATTGTTTTTAAAATACCCCGGGATTTAGAAATTGCGTTTACCGATAAATAATTGCGTTTAAATTGCGTCAAATAAAACAAAAGTAACAACAAAGCTATAAAATTTAGTTCCAATGCTATAAAAGCTATAAAATTTAATACCAATGTTTTCAATATTGATTTATAAGTTTAAGGTAAGTTTAATCTTAATATATTGTGGCTTTTTTATATTCTCTATACAGTATTGGACAAAACATTTGCAACCAACATCGAACAATGCTAAAAAGTGTTCCTAATTTTACATGTCTTAAAATCAAAACGAACTATACTACCACAGCAAACAGATCAGGAGTCTTGAGTCATAACATGCCATGACATGAGCAATCAACTGACAGGTGACAGCACACAGGCAGAACTTCGTTGACAAGTGCTATTTTGCTGCGGACAAAAAACAAGTACAACTTTTTTGGATTTGTTTCATTTTTTTAAGTCTGGTCTGTGTCAACGTCACGGAAGTTTTTTAATAATTAACGGAAGTATCCAGAAGTTTCCAGAAGCATGCAGAAGCTTCCAGAAGTTTCCAGAAGAAGCATATGGAAGCATTCAGAAGCATCCAGAAGTATTCAGAAACATTCAGAAGCATCTAGACGCATTCAAAGCTTTCAGAAGCATCGAAAAGAAGCATCTAGAATCTTTCAGAACAGGTTCACACAGGTTCATTTTACTATAAAAGAGACATGTAAACCGACATGTAATTCAGTCAGTATATGGAAGTCAATCAGTTAGTATTATCAAGACAGTTTATCGAAGTGAGTTTTATCAAAGTGTTTTATCAAAGAACATCAATACAAGAAGTGAAATACAACAAGTGTTTTATTACATCAATACAGTCCACATCACTACAGTCCACAGAGCATTATTGTATCATCACAAGGTAAATGTAACACGGTAAGCCTTGAGAAGCGTGATTATTTATTTTTAATATTTTTATGACTTCAGGTGCAAAATTGACTATTGACAGTCTTGGATTGGAACTAAGAAAGAAAATTATTGGCGATTACCTAAGTGGAATGTCACAAAAAAGTATTTGTGATAAATATCGCGTGAAAAAATGGACCGTATCAAGACTATGTTCCAAATATCGTTCTACGGGGAAGTTGGCAGCAGATAACAAAGGTGGAAGACCACATTCCACCACTTCTAGAGAGGATTTTATGATCGTCAGATCCGTCAAGAAAGATCCCTGGGTATCATCAGTTGAGATACAAAAGCAATTAGAGCTGCCTGTATTGGACCAAACAATCAGACGACGTGCTGTTGAAGCCGGATTGTTTTCTCGACGCCCTGCTAAGAAAAGGCTGATTTCACTAAAAAACCAGAAGGAAAGACTCCTGTTTGCTACACCTCATATTGACTGGAATGTGAAGAAATGACAAACTGTCCTGTTCAGTGATGAATCGAAGTTCAACATCATTGGGAGCGATAGCATATGCCGTGTACGTCGACCGGCCGGAAAACGCCTCAATTTACGTTACTGCCATAAAACCGTGAAGCATGGTGGAGGCAATGTAATTGTCTGGGGGTGTTTTTCTGCTAACGGTCTAGGTCCAATACATCGAATCGATGGAATAATGGACCGTTTTATGTATAAAAATATCCTGAAAGATGTTACCTTATGCTGAATGGAATATGCCAATAAAATAGGTTTTTCAGCAAGCCAACGATCCGAAACGCACTGCAAAAGTAGTCAACAGTGGTTCCAAGACAACCACCTATCGGTGATGAATTGGCCGCCTCAATCTCCGGATCTCAACCCTATCGAGAACCTGTGGGAGATTATCAACCGCAGAATTATTCGTGAAGGTGTTCGTAATAAGGATCAACTGTTTTAATAAATCCAAAAGGTCTGGACAACGATTCCGCAAAGTTTCATTGATCACCTGATCAAATTTATGCCTCGAAGATGCAAGGCTGTGATCGACAACAAAGGATTCGCCACGTAATATCGATAGCGAAATACAGCTTGGTCAACATTTTGTGGAGTTGCACTTGTTTTGTCCAGAAGTAAATTAACCTTTTTTAATACTTTTGATTAATTTATTAATTTTCGTGTACAAATAATGAACTTTGTGATAAATAAAACTTGAAGAACGTTGTCTCTAAACAGTTACATAGTTATTTCTCTAAATTGAAAAAATGCAGCATTTTTATATAAAGAAACTAAATCAGCATTATTTGGTTGCACTTGCTTTGTCCGATACTGTATATTGTAATAAACTTGCGCGTTTATTTGGAAATAGTGAGAAATTAATTTTAATTATTAAAACTAAATTATAATAATAATATAAATAATAAGAATAACAATAATTAGAATAAAATTAAAAATTTATTTGTAATTACTTATATTGTGTTATTTATGAGGCAGTTTGTCAATATACCTAAATCTCCAAACAATGTTAAAAAAAATGGTACTAGATTTCTCTAACAAAATTAAGAATGTTATTAGAAATGAATTAAGACAAAAAATTAACAGTGGAACTAGGTCCTTAACTTTTTTTGATGAGTGGACGTCGATTCAAAATACTCGTTATTTGAATAACAATTTATACAATTGAAACAATTTTTTAAATTTTGATTTAGTTAGGATCTTAGGGACAATGCCAGCTGAAAAGTGTGTTATTTTACTTGAAGAAAATCTCTCCGCGTAAGGACGATATTTAACTCACGATATTTAACTGGTCATTCTTTTAGTTTTATATAATACGTCAGCATCAAATTGCATGCGGAGATATTTAGTCGAGAAAACTGATTAAAGAAAAAATTATTGAAGACGTAATAATTACAAACAAATCGATTGGTCTAGTGATTAATAAAGTTAGAAAAATCGTGATGGTTTTTAAAAGATCACCAAATAAAAATAATGAATGTCTTCAAAAATATGTAAAAAATGGCTTTCGAAAAAACCTTAATTTAATCAAAGTTTGTAAAACAAGATGGAACAGCTTACTATCAATGCTTGAAAGTTTTCATAAGTTAAAAAACTACATAAAAAAAGGGGTTGCTGATATCAGTATTATTGGTTTTAAAAAAATGTTATGTATAAAAATGATAAGGAGTATGATATTGTTTCTGAACTAGTAAACGCGCTGATTTCAGTAAGAGCTCTTTGTTGACGCGATGCAAACCTTATAACTGCTGACATTGCGTTAGAGTTTATGCTAACTAAATTAAAAAATCTGAATACTGCAACAAGTTGTCAACTTTTTCATGTATTAGCCTTCAGAGTGAAAGAGCGAAGGACTGAATTAAGTAGTCTACTACGCTATCTACATTACGGGGAAAAAAAATTAATGCCCATAGGGGAAGTTTTTGAAACATCTTCAAATTTAAAAAAAAAATGTTGAAGCTTCTAAATAAATGTAACAAATTTAAACCACCCTACAAATTCCATGGATAACGTTGAGGATTTAGCCAAAAAAAAATGTAGAAGTCAAAAAGATGATGAAATACCGAAAAGCGCAGATAATGAAATGCTGAAAACTATTAGTGAGCACTAAATGAAGCCCTGGAAAAAGTTTTTCTAGCAACTTCCACAAATTCTTTGTTATGATTAGGCAAAACTCTTACTTCTAACTTATCAAAAGAAATATCATTGTTTGAAATTGGTTGTACTCGGGGGGAAAGTGGTTGTACTCGTTTGTAATCGTGGTGAAAGTGTTTATATTCGGGGTGAAAGTGGATGTACTCGTGGTGAAAGTGGTTGCACTCGGCTGAAAATGGTTGTACTCGGGGTGATGGTCTTCAGAAAGTTTATGATTTAAAAAAAAAAAAGGTATAAAAAAAAATCTTTGAAAGAATTTAATTCATTAACATTGTTAACAAACTTTTGTTAGATTTTTTGAATAGAGAAAAAGAATATATATATATATATATATATATATATATATATATATATATATACATACATATATATATATATACATGTATATATATATATATATATATATATATATATATATATATATATATATATATATATATATATATATATATATATATATATATATATATATATGTATATATATATATATATATATATATATATATATATATATATATATATATATATATATATATATATATATATATATATATATATATATATATATATATATAATTATATAACGGTAATGCGCTAGCCTTAGAAACATGAGATTGGCGGTTTAAAGCAATATTTGGGAGATCAGTTAGGAATGAAGTGTTCTGCAAAAAGACCGTAAAGACTTTTTGAATACTTTAAAAAAAATTTTTAAAATTATAATTTTTGCTCTAAATTTTTATTATTGCGGTTGCTCAGTTAAGAAAAAAAAAAAAAAGCGTATATTTTGTCCTCAACGGAGTGTCTCTTGGGAGTTTATGTAACGGTCCTTTGCGGACGTATTTTAATTATTGAATAAAACGAATTCGCTGGAAATAAAAATGTTTTAAATAAAATAAAAACATTTAAAAAAATTTTCAATATAAATAACGCAATAAAATAGTTTTTAAACAAAATAAAACAAATATAAAAGTCTCAGTGGCTGTTACAAACAATCCAACGCCAAAGCCGTAAGTAAAATAATTTATGTTCCTTTATCCAGTTGTTTTATAAAAAAACTTGAGTTTTTCGAGTAAAACTTCCAATTTGTAATAAATGCGGAAATAAGATATTGAAACCTTTGTTTAAAAATTAATTATAAATTACAAAATATTTTAGGTGTTTCTAAAAAATGAGCCAAAAGAAATCTTCCGGCGCTCAAAACCAAATAATGCTGACCCCACTTTGTGGCCAGTTGTTTTGTTTCAAAAATATCAAGATGTAACCATTTTAAAGAGACCTCTTTCACATTTTTTGAATTAACAAGCTTATCCTCCTGATTCTAAAAAGAGAATCTTTCCTTTGAGTGTGTTTTATCAACGTTTGCCTAAATAAGAAAGAGTAGAAAGAAACTTTTTGGCATGGAGCTCGACCTCCAAGTCTCTCTACTGTTTTTCTTGCTCTGTCTTGGGTACGAAAGCAGTACTCAAAAGCGGTGAATCGTCCCTTCTTCGTTGGAACAAAGGAACTAAGGATCAATGGGGAAACTCATAGATTGCATGAAGCAGCATCAACCCAGCCCATTGCACAAAAAGTTCTATGTTGATTGGAAAGAGGCATACATTCGTCTTACCAGCTCTAGTGGTATAGATTCAGAGCTGCAGAAGCTTTTTGTCTAAGTTCTGAGACAGCAAAATGGAAGAAAATTTTTTGTGGAATTTTGGATGGAATTCTTTTCTTGGCTTCTAGGGATTTAACTTTTCCAGGTAATTTATTATACGGCTCTCTCAATATCAGTTTTAATTATTTATATATTTATCGTAATAATTTAATTATAACTATTATATACAAATATGTTTGCAGGTGAACACTTGTGAATGGGAAAGGAAATAGAAACTTTCTGGCCGATATGGAGCTTATTGGTTGCCACTACCCTGTCATTGCATCCCACTTGGAAGATATAAGACGCCATCAACAAAAGGGCTCCAGAATGAGTGCCCTTTACCTCTCTCTGTCGTCTCAAAATGAGTTCATCAGAAAATGTGCTGGTATTATCCGAAATGCAGCTGTTTAAGAAATCCAGGATGGTATCTACTTCAACATCATAGTCGATGGTACTCCCGATACAGCTCACACTGAGCAGATAACTTTTGTTGTATGCTCTGTGAACTTGCTCCTATAAGAAAGCGAACTAAAGCACTTTCACGATGAACCATCAAACACAACCTATTTTTACGACAGCCGAACGAAACAATTCGAAGCGAACGTTTTCAATGTTGGTTTAGACAGTCTAATTAAGCAGATTAATTCAAGGTTTGAGGCAAGTAGGATGGTTGAAAATATGTTTTCATTCATATGGTTGGATAATGATGATCTTTCCGTTCGATATAAAGCTTTCGAAGTTACATGATTTTATCCGAGAGATGTGAACAAAAAGGATCTCATTGAAGAAGTTCGACGTTTTAAAAATGCCTGCAAAACAATTTTTAAGCAAGGAAATCCACTGCAGCTATTCAATCAAACTTTTGAGAAGTTTGAAGGCCTTTTTCCGTATATTTGCATTTGCTCCGGATTTTCAACACTCTTCCTGTATCAGTTGCTGATGGTGAACAATCCTTTAGTAAGCTAAAGATTGTAAAAAACTCTCTCCGTTTGATGGGCCAGTTTCGCGTAACTGATCTTTTGATTATTTCGATTGAAGAAGATTTGGCTAAGAAGGTGAGCTACGGCAATGTCATTAATATTTGGGCGGCCAGAAAAGCTTGAAAAATTCATTTATAGCGCTTTATTTACCTTTCTAGAAGATTTTGTCGATTGACTTTTCGTCTATTGTATTTAAAACTAATAATTTAGTTAATATGTCAGTTTTGATTAACGAACCGTCAATCCAGAGAATTAATAGTAACGCAGAAGTACAATGTGGCGTGTTAAATAAAGATAATTGCTGCTTTAAATTTTGCAATTTCTTGGTTTGAAATAGGGGCGCTGTTCTCCATTTTGACCCACGCGCCAACGGCGCTCTCGTATGTATGTATGCATGTATGTATGTATGTATGTATGTATGTATGTATGTATGTATGTATGTATGTATGTATGTATGTATGTATGTATGTATGTATGTATGTATGTATGTATGTATGTATGTATGTATGTATGTATGTATGTTTGTATGTATGTTTGTATGTATGTATGCATGTATGTATGTATGTATGTATGTATGTATGTATGTATGTATGTATGTATGTATGTATGTATGTATGTATGTATGTATGTATCTATGTATGTATGTAAAGAAGGAGGCGTGAACTTCCTGGTTAAATGCACTTTCGCGATGCTCTGTGACATGTCCGTTAGGTCTTCTTGGGGCACCAAAATAACAATTAAAATATATATATATATATAAGATTAAATATTCAAAATCTCTATCAACTTTAAAAAACTAATTTATAGTTACAAACATGAGTATATTAACAAAGTATATTAGATTTAGTTTGTTTAATGGTTTATGTTTTTTTTAAGTAGTAATCTTGTTTAATAAATAAACATATTAAATCAACAAGAGTTCGTTCCCCTGCGTCCTACCATGTTAGTAAGGCTGCGCTCTTCGCACGTCGGCCTCGTTCGTCAGATCTTGTCTTGCGGAGTCAAAGGGAAATACAGATGCATCAACAACAAAAATGTTTAACCTCCGGTAGTGGACCCCGTGGTTTTGAGGAGGTTAAAAGAAAAAATTATATAAATACTTTATTGGATACCAATAAACAGTCATTGTATCTTATTCCTAACAATATTGTGTATTATCATTTATAAAAACATTGTATCTTATTCCTAACAATATTATATTATCATTTATAAAAACACTTTCTAACACATCGTTATCACTGCTTTATATCTTAAAAACACGTTCTAACACATCGTTATCACTGATTTATATCTTTTATTAATTTGACTATTTTTCCAAAATATAACAATTTATTAATAGATATATATGTGTGTACGTATAATATATCTACTTATTTATATGTGTTTATTAATTACGTATACATGTGTGTATATATGTATATGTGCCTTTGTATCTTTGTGTGTGGTTGTGTGTTTGAGAGTGACTGAATGTATAAATGTCGGTATTTTTTCTTATTTATAGCACTTCCCTTAACGACCACCCCTATGCCCTTATTGTTATTGTTTAGGTATTATTATTTTAGTGTTACTGTTGTAAACTATTATTATAATTATTATTGTTAAAACTATTCAGTAGTAATAACAGTAGTAGTTTACTACTGTTAATAACAGTAATAACAGTAATAACAGTAGTAGTCTATTGCTGTTATTAGTATTAGTATTTTTATTATTGTTACTGTGTTATAATTAATTTTATTATTACTATTAATTTAAAATAGTTGCTTTATACCATCATTGGTCCTTACGCCTCATCAGCATTTTTAACTGTTTGTAATTGTTCCTCACTATTGTATATATATGCAGTTATTAAAGTGTATATATATTTATTGATTGAATTCATTTGATTTAATATATACTTAATAATGTATTATTTTTGCCTTTAATGAAAAAAATAAAAATAAAAGATCTTTATCAACGAAACTTCTAAGAAATATTACACAATGGCCGATGATCCAGAGTTAGAGGCTATTCGTGCTCAAAGACTTGCTCAAATGCAATCCCAGGTGTGTCTAATTATTTAGTCTTACTTAACAGAAAAAAGTAAAATTAGTTTTAACACAAATTTTACCAATTTCTATATTTAATTAATATTGTTTCTATTTTTAATAATAATAATAATAATAATAATAATAATAATAATAATAGCAATAATAATAATAATAATAATAAAGAAAACTGTTTTGCATATATCTATAGATTATTACATTTTTGTTTATTAAAAATTATTCCTTTTTTCACCTTTTTTTACTAGAGATCTTTCTTAAAAACAAATGTCCTTTTATTATTCCAAGAAGCCAGTGTTAAAAGGTCTTGTCTGAAATTAAGCTCTGTTATTCTCAGTTTACTAAATCTTATCTCTGATGTTAGGTTCTAGAGACTCTTGGTTAGTCTTTAACTTCAACATTCAATCTTATATTTATGGGTCTAATCTTTTTACTTCTCCCCAGAATAAAGCAGAGTTATTTTGCAAAAAAATCTTACTCTAATTTGACTCTTGAATCTAATGGCCATACTGTTCCTGCTAGTTAAACAGATTAACCCATTGTTAAACATCCAAATCACTCTGGCTTCCAATTGCTAAAGTTAATTATCAATTAAACACTTCTACAGTTTGTGCTCCAGGTCAGATTTCCATCATAGTCTTAAAAAAGAGTTCTCCATCTCTCTTTTTAATTTTTGCTATGTTTTTAAAATATGTTAAATAAGTGGTTCCAATTTTTCAAAACTCTAGAAAACACTTCGACCTCTCCAACTTTTCTAAAAGTAGTTTTCCCCTGGCTATTAATTTCTTTATAGAAGGTTTTTTGATTATTAAATTATTTCTTTCTAATTGCAATATTGAAGTTATTCTTGCAATTAAAAATGTGGAATAACTTAGTTGAGAATCCATTTATAATGTACATATGATTAAATAATTTTTAAAATGCTGTAAATTAAGAAATTTATAAAAAATTGATAATTTGTATACATTGCAAACATATTGAATTTGACCTTTCAAAATGTTGCACTTTTTTTATTAAAAAAAAATTATTATAAAATATGTTTGCATATAAATGCATAATTTTAATAGATACGATCCATCAATAGTGCCTGGCTGATTCAACCTTGCACGGTTTGGGGGCATATTATTTGAAGTTCTCACAATAATGTCTAATAAACTATTAATAACTGGCAAGTGTAACTTCGCCACCATCAAGACACATCTCATAAAAATTAATCAATTAGTTATTAACAATACACAGTATTTTAAGTCTAGTCAAACTAAAACCAATATCACTCATAAAGCTTTAAATTTTTACTAAAATGTCCACAATTTTCCAGTTCGCTCTAATTCCAATTGTCCAAATCACTCAATTTAGTTGGTTTTTTTCAGTATGTTTGCCGTTATTTCTGTCAATGAAAGTTGATCTTTGGAAGTAAAATGTTATAGCTGCTTTCCTTTTACTCATACCTTTATATCATCTATACCATGTGCTTACTCACGGAAATCCATAGATGGCAAAGATATATTAATTTGTAAAAGAACTATTTCAGTGCGTTTAATATATATATGATTGTTTTTTAAGTCGTTCATATCAGTGATATAAATTAACCAGTAATTTTTGAAATCAAAATTTTTAAAACAGGTCAATTTTGAAATTATAAACAAGTTCTTTATTCGAATAAAATGTGTGATATCCATGGAAAGCATCCATTATTAAAATGTCAAAATTTACAGGTAAATTTACAGGTAAATTTACAGGTAAAGTTACCAGTAAATTTTACATTAGTAGCACTAGTTTATGTTCACTAAGTTACATTTTTTATGTATCAACATTTCACAACATTCCTGCTAACTGTCTCCTTTGTTGTTTATTCATGAATAACCAAAGTTAGAGTCAAAATTTCACTAATTTTTTCACAAAGTTAGAGTTCAAAATTTCACAAATTTTCAAAAAAAAAAAAAAAAGTTAAAATTCAAAAATAAATAATTTGGTGATTCTAATTATACTAATTCTAATAATAAGGTTCATTTAATACTTTGAATATTTTAGATTATAATAGTATGCAGGCTTGGACAGGAATGGCGTGCGATTGCACTCTGTAACTGATCATGCTAATATTTTTATTTTTTTACAACTTGACCACAGCTTTTTTGATGTTTTAACAATTTGAATGCAATTAAAAAAGTGTTATGTTATAAATATCTTTTAATTGTTGATCTTTTCTAAAAATTTTCTTTTTTACAAAGGCTTTAAATAAAACCATAAAATTAATTATAGTTATTGTTTACATTAACATGTGTAAATTAATAAAAAAGGTTATATATAAGTTTTTATTATGTAGGCATACATTTTTTATGATAAACTTAAACATTTGAGACTATTTTTCCATATCTTCCTAAAACATTTTTAAACCATTATTTTTAGAAAGAATTTTTTTAAGTAACTTTAATTTGTGAATAAAGCTTTTGTGACTACTAGCTTTCATACATTTTATGAGAATTACACAAGAATATAAAATAATTTTATTTACTAATATAAGCATGCATTTTATTGATTAATGAAAAAGTTTTAAAACATTTTGTAATGTTCATACGATTAATTTTTATAATTAAACTTACAATTTTTTTAAATTGTTTTAAATAAACACTTTATTTTTGTAAACAATTTTTTTTTTTCAATTTTGTGAGGAATGAATGAGTTTAAATCTTTTATAATATTTTTTACATTCGTTACGCAAAGCCCTTAATAATAAAGTTGTAATGATCAAATTAAAATTAAATTTAAAAGCTTGTTGGCAGTTTATTTTATTTAAATCTCAGGCGCATTTTATTTATTTATTTTATTTATTTTTACAAATAAAAAAGTTTAAGACCTTTTTTTTAATTAGACTAATTAGATGAAATTAGTAAAAAGATACTAATGAAATTAGTAAAAAATGTATATACAGTTAAAATATTATATAAAATACTTTTTAATAAATTTATTCATTTATTAAACAATCATTAGCAGTAATTTGTTACTTAATTTAAAAATGTTTTGTGTAACTTTAATAACATTTAAAAAGATGAGCTTTAATAATGTTTATTTCATACGTAATTAAAAACATAACATAAATATTTATTTTTATTTTAGTGCTTATATAATTTCTTTTTCGTTATGAGTTTGTTTTTCATTTCTTTTTTTTTTGTTTTAATTTTTTTCATAGTTTAAGTTTAGCTTAGGTTTCTATATTCAAAGCATTTCTGAAATTTTTAAATCATCAAAACATATAAACAATCATGGTCAAGTTGTCAAAAAATAAAATCATTTGCGTGGTCAGCAATAGCGCTCGATCGCACGCCATTCCTGTCCAAGCCTGAGTATGCCTTTTTTCAAATTGTTGTTTTGCTAAATATTATTTTAGCAGGTTGCAAATAAACATTATTATTTTTATACATTCATATTTACAAAGTAATAACCTATTTATGAAAAAAAAAAGTTTGTAAAACTTAAGTTTTGCACGCTTTTTTTATATACTTTTTCTTAAATTACCAAAGTTAAATGGTGACCGAACTTAAGCAATTTTGAGGTATAACTTTTTTTTTACATTTCAGTTTTGAAATTGCTTTTTAACAAAAGTTTCTTCTTTATAATAAATTTTTTGAATTGATCAAATACTGAACGCCAATTAGAATTGATTAACTAGTTTATGAGTAGTATGCATAGATTTTGTTATAGCCAAAATGTTAAAAAAAGATTGATAGTTTTTTAGTTTTTTACTGTTAAAGTGATCTCCAAGTGCCAAGAGTGTTATCATAAAAAATCCTTAAAAGATAAGTTTCATGTTAATCAATCTTTCCAGAATAAAGTTGAAGGAAGTTCCAGCTCTTTGATTTTTTTTTAATAGCGGAATACTGTTGCCATATCTGGGGCGGATCTTCTAATGATGCCCTTTCTCTTTTAGACAAGGTGCAAATCGCATTGTAAACATAGTTGGACCTGCTCTTGCAGCCAACCTCTGTCACATCGTCGTAATGTTGCTTCTCTTTCTCTTTTCAACAAATACTATAATGGGCACTGCTCTAAAGAGCTAGCGTCTCTTGTGCCATCTACTAAAATTCATTCTCGTGTTACTCGTCATTCAATTAGGTCTCATCCTTTTTCTGTTACTATTCCTAAGTGCTCCAAAAACTCTTACTTGTCTAGTTTTTTTCCTCGAACATCAGTTTTTTGGAATTCGCTTCCTTCATCTTGCTTTCCTGATTCATATAGTTTGCAATCTTTTAAGTCGTCTGTTAATCGTTATCTTGCTCTACAATCTTCATCTTTTCTCTTCCAGTAACTTCCAACACTAATTAGTGGTTGTTTGCAGCCTTGTTGGAAGCAAAGATGTTTAAAAATAAAAAAAATAAAAATGTGGAGGAATGTCTTCATATATTTTATAAAACAAACCAAACTTTTATAACCGAATAAAAATAACACGATCAATAAGTAAATGTTTTAAAAGCCCAACTTAAGTTTATTTTATTTTAAAAACAAAGCTAATATTTGTGCTTAAAGAAGGAGTGGACTTGCAGAATCAGATAATTCAATTTTTTTTAAATGACTTAATAACATATTTGTATAGTTCACTTATTCCTACATCTTTGTAAATAAGGATTAAATTAAAATGCAACTATTTTAATTACATTTGACCTGCTTAAAATTATGTTGCCCGTGCAAAATAAGATAAAAATAAGTTTTCTGTCCATCCAAAATAAGACAAATATTTTATTCGCTTTTATAAAGTTTTGTAAAAATGGCAGATCTTATTTGTGCAGAAAAAGTCAACTGTCTAAATGAAACAAAACAAGAAATCAATTTAATGCAACTGTGGTAGCTCAAAAATCCAACAATGGCACAAGAAAACATATACCTAAAGGATCCTATTGTAATGTCCTTAAAAATCAAATATATTTAATTTTTTTGAAAATGCCACGCTATAAATATATAAGTATAAAGTTTTGTATATACAGTTGAATCTTGTTAACTCAGAACCT